ATTAGAGGACTGTTCGATGGAGTAAGTCAATCAAAATAGGTTCAAATATGTTTGAATTCGAACATGGTTCAAACCCCATTCACGAACATATCTTATAGTGTATTCAAGTTGCCAAACGAGCTTCTTTGCGAACAAAACTAGCGAGGCATTTTAAACTATCAAATAAGCATGTTCATGAATATATCCCACGAGTGATCTCGAGCTATCAAATGAGCCCGTTCAGAAACATATTTATCTATTGTTTTCAAGCTAAGATCTAAGCTGGTTCACGAACAAAGAGTTATGATTTATGTTATAAACAAACTTACTCATAAATATTTTAAACAAACAATATTATAAACACAAATATTTATAAAATAATAATCATTAATCATTTTATTACATATAATTAAATAATATTATAAAATAAAAATAATTATAACCAAATTACATATAATTTAGATTTAATAGATATTTATAATTTGTAATTCATATATATTATAATATTTAATTAATTTAAAATTATTAATTTATTAATTAATATTTATTATATAATTAAATTATAATAAATATAAAATATTTATATTAGGCATGCTCATCAATTGTATAATCAAATATTAATCGAGTTTTTAACTAGCTTATTCATGAGCTTGTTCACTAGATTTAAATATTATTGTTCTTGATCATAAATGAGTTGAACGTATAATTGTTCAAACTTATTTATTTAAGTATCAGATATTTAAAAAAAAAATTCAAACTCATTAACTTAATTAAATGATCATGAACGAGTTTTAATCGAACCAACCAATGCTCGATTTGTTTGTGGGCCCACTCCAAACTGGCTCTATCCTCTCATTAGGTAGAAAGTAATGAGATATTATTAAGTTTAAATTTTTGTGATGAGAAATAATGAAATATACAATTAATAAATTATAAATGCACACTTAATAAACACAAAATAAGTATAATCACATGCATTAGACTAATATATTGCATTTAACTCAATATAAATTAAAAGTTTTTTAAATTCATCAGTATCCTTTTATTCCTATAATGCGTCGGAGAAAGCCAAAAAGAAATCACTTTCAAAAAGAAAAAAAGGTCTCCGGAATCGACATGCATTTGCCAAAACTTGTGACCAAATGGACGGCTTGCCTGCCCCACGCTGCCGTGTGCCGCGCTGCTGCCGGGTCGGGTCAACCCGACAACCCGGCCGGGTCGGATCCGGGTTTAAATGTCCGACCCGTTTACATCCAGGTCGGGTCGGGTTCGACCCGAACCCGACGAGTTGACCCGAATTGACACCCCTATCCTTGACCTATGAGAAATTATTATGCCCGGAGAAGACATAGAGAACAATTCAGTTTTATGATAATTAATAGTAAAAGTGTAGTAAAAGTACATTAGTGTATAGTAAAAGAACAATCATGAATAGTAATTACACTTTTATTATTTACAGTCACAAAATCGAACGATTCTATATATTCGGACTCCGCACGTAACAATCTTCGCCTAATTTTTTTAAATGATATATAGGAGAAAAAAAAAACATAAACATAAGCAATAATGTGCCATAACATAAGAACAATTCAACTGTTTATATTTTAAATATTAAATATTATTTTGATTTTTAATATGATTTATTTGTCTTGATAAAATTTATTTTCATCGGGTAAAAAATCTTAATATAATATTTATTTGAAAACTTTTAAAATTAAATTCAGAATTTTTTGCAATTTCATTTCAGCAAGTTTGTTGTTAAATTAAGTATCTTGACAAGACAAATTCAAAGACATCAAAGGTGATCCAATTTAATCCCAAATGAGCCCAAATCAATCATTTAAAATATCGTGGAGAACTCTGAGACATTAGTTGAATGACTAAATAATCTCTAAATCTATGTGTATGCTAAAAAATAAGCAGCTTTATGAGAATGATCCAACAAATACAATATTATTCAATATTGAGGTCATAAAAATCCTTAAATGTTGAATGAACAATTTATGATCAAATGATTCAATATGAGTTGTCCAATTGTGTGTTATTAAATTTGACTAAATTTATCAAAATGGCAATTATAAGTATTATAAATAGACCTTGGTCTTTATATGATAGAATTTATATTTGAGTTGAGAGAGAGCCTGAATGCATGGAATATTCTAAGACTCTTGATATATCATCAAAAATTTATCTTGATCAAGCACGAATCTCGAGGCAAAAATTGAGTTGGAAATTTCAAAAATTAAATTGGAGACTAACTGAACTCCAATTTCAGCAAACTTATAGTCGCCCTTGATCTTTCCCCTGTTTATTGGTCATGTTACTCTTAGAAAACTATAAATAGATCCATCATTTCTCATAGAAGGGGACCTCCAGAGGGGGGGAAGAAGGAGGCCCAAGCAAGAAGAGAAGAGAAGGAAGAGACTCCTCATCGACCACCGTCGGACTTTCACCCGGCAGGCGACCGAAGTCGGACTTCTGCATGATCACCAACTAACGCCGGAATTAAGCAAGGAAGCAATAATAGAATGAAGAAAAGGAAGAGAAGAAAGAGAGCTCTCTTGTCACCAGACTCTTCATCGACCTTCGTCGAACTTTCACCTGGCATGACACCTGTAATCAACTGCAAAATATTAGTGGATTCATTCAAACTAGGCTAGGTCCCATGGTTTTTCCCCTTTTTAGGATTTTTCATGTAAAAAATCTTGTTGTCTCCCGATGAATACTCTACTCTCTCTTTTTATCTGATTGCTTGATGGATCTTCGTACAACGCTAAGACATTAAACTTTATATTTCTCTACCGTCATGAATATTCCAGGACCCAATTAACAACTCTACTTGATATTTAAAACAAACGATCATCACCAGCCATTGTTATCACCTGATTACCATTGTGTGACCACCATTGTTTGATTATTATCATTTTATCACTATCACACAATCGTCATCTCCACATTGTAATCGCTTTATTGTCATTCACCCATCGTCTCTCAACCATCATTGTCTAATTGTCATCACTCAATTGTCATCATCCAATCGTCATATCTTGATTGTCGTCGCCCAACTATCTTTGTTTAATTGTCATCACTTGAATAATGTCATTAGGGCTATAAACGAACCGAACCGAGCCTAGTATGTGAGTGTTCATGTTTGAGTTCATTTATTATTAGCTTGTTCAAGTTTTGTTTGTGTTCATGTTTGATTCATTTAAATTAATGGTGTTCATGTTTTGTTCATGTTATGTTCATGTTCAGTTCATTTAGTGTTTATTGAGCTTTAAACAAAACAAGCAAGCCTTAACGAGCTATGTTCGTGAACATATTTAGCAAATTTGTTTACACTTCATGCATAATTCTAATAAGTATTCTTGAGCTATCAAATGAGCAAGATCATGAATAAAACATAACTAGTATTTTCGAGCTACCAAATGAGCTCGTTCACGAACAAACGATCTATGATTCATCTTATATTGTTCATGAACATCTTAAACAAACAATCTAACAAACATTGACAAATGTGAAATGTTTATTATTCATGAACAAATTCATTCTATTGAAGGTATAAAATAAAATGAAATTAAATTTATAATAAAAGTAATTGTTTATTTAAAATGAAAATATGATTAATATGTATGAATATATTTACCGAGCTTATTCACGAGTTCTAAATCGAACACGAATCAAGCTTTTATCGAGCTTCTTATCGAGCTTAATGTCGAGCTTGTTCACGAGCTTCAAATGATGTTGTTTGTGAACAGAACTGAACTGAACACATTAGTGTTCAAGCTTGTTTATGTAAGGATTGAGTATTAAAAATGTTGTTCAAATTTCTTTGTTTAGTTAGTTAAACGATCGCAAATGGGTTTTAATCGAACCAAGCAACTAGTAGCTCATCAAACGTTTGGTCCGCTTGCAGCCCAAAATGTCACGCCCATCTTCTCAATTTGAGGGAGAGAGCAAACTCTAATAACATACCTATATAGTGGATCATTTATCTAGATCAAGCGTCATTTTTTTTTCTTTTTGGAAAATTCAAGTTAAAATTCAGGTGTCTCTTTGTATAAAAAAATAAGATATAATAATTCAATATCTATTATCATAAATTTTTAACAAGCAACAACGAGCATGAATTTGAATGCTAATATATATAAATATATGCATAAATCCCAAGCTCTCATTCATAAGTTCACATAAAAATTAGTGAGAAATTATAATGAAAGGCTGTCCATCATGATTTTTTTTGAACATTTAGACTAATTAAGATAAATTCACACATATATCACATACATTACTCAAACTCAAGACATCTTGATAATCAAAAGTCAAAACTCTCAACCAACAAATTAAAATGAGTTGAATGTTCATCATGATCTAATAATTGAGAAATTTAGCTCGCACAATTAAATCATATAATATTAAGGGTTGATTTGGTTCGGCGTAATTAGTGTTGTTTACGTTCTGTAACGTGAAAAAAGATGTCGGTTACTGTTTGGATGCATATCTTTTACAAAATTGTGTTTTTCAAACCTTCATTATCGTACCGATTTATGAAGCTTTTATTTTTACTTCTGTGTTAGTAAAAGACAGTTTTGAAACCACTATTACTCAGCAAAACTCCTCATACTATCCGTTAGATCCTTCACTTGAGGAAGAAACACTTCCACCGGATCTTGAGAGAGGAGGAGGGAGAGAGGAGAGGGGAGGAGAGCCAAATACCGAATTCTTATTTCTTTCTTGGCCACTTCTATTACAACCTAAAGACCTCTTTATATAGACTCCTAAGACTATTCAAAGCAACACAAATGGCTACACTATGCCATACAAGAAATCTAAACTGAAGCAATCCTAAATCTAGGAATAAATACACAACACTATCAAATGAGGCCTAAATTTGCTTTAAAATTAATTAAATTCTTATGCCTGAATTGATTAATGCTAAATATCCACATACATACACACGTACGTACGCGAAGAGAGTGATAACACGTGTACACCTGCATGTTTCGCACATAGCTAATTTCTCGGAATTAGTCCATCCTCAGCTGGGAACAAGAAGTTTGAATGCTCGACTACATCCGGCGCCGCCCGCCTCTACCCTGCCCTATAAGTAACTTCGACACCCGGCGGTCGAACCAGAAGCAAGCGACAAACATAGAAAAAGAGCTATAGGGCAAGCTAGCATTCAATTTGAAACCAAAAAGGTTTGAGAAATGAGCGGTAGCTTTCTGAGGAGCGGCGGCATGAGAGCCCGCGAACTTCTCCGTCGCTCCCGTGTCCCGGTTTCTTCTAGCTTTGCGCAACGGCCTAGGGCTTACGTACGCTCATTTCCGGCCGCGGCAAAGGTCAGCCAAGACTCGTCTTCTCATCTTTCCCCAGCCGTATCCTCTTTTCTATCATCAGCCGCTTCCAGGAATGGGTTCGTGAGTTGGTATCTAGGGATGATCGAAGCACGACCTATTTTGACGAAGAGCATAACATCCGGAGCTATATTCATCGCTGCCGATATTTCGTCGCAGGTACAGTTCTATTGGAATGGGAGTTGGGGTCAAAACTTTGTAATGATGGCGTTCTATGGAAGTGAATTGGAGTGTCAATAGTTTTGGGATATTAAACCTGGAAAGCAAAGCACACAATGGATGCCTTCCTGGCGACAGGATATATGTATAGTGATTTTGCTCCTGGATTAATTTTGAGTAATTGTTGTTTGTTTTATGACAGGTGGTCACTCTTCCAGCTTCAGATTCTTTTGATTGGATACGAACACTTCGTATGGGTAGTTATGGGACGCTAGTTGCTGGTCCATCATTGCATCTATGGTTCAATTTTGCTTCAAGAATTATCCCAAAACGAGATGTAATCAGTACACTGAAGAAAATATTTATCGGGCAAACTTGCTTTGGACCAATTATGACATCCATTTTTTTCTCTGTGAATGCTGGGCTACAAGGTAAATTTTAGATAGTACTTCTTTGGTGTGCTGGTTACTGATTCACGTATTCGTCGTGATTCAATTTGTGATTGTGCTGATCCATGTGTTGAGGTTTTGGGGTTTAGAATTTAGGGTTTAAGATTTTTATTTTGGGTTTTTTTTTTCCTTAAGGCATTTTGTTAAATGTTTAGGTTAATTTTTGCAATCTAACGCCTAGTTATCTAAAGCTAAGATTATAAGCTTGATTTGTGCCATCTAATTTTAGTAAATTTCACTACATTGCATTTTAATGGTATGCATTGTCTTGAAACTGATGAAGCATTTTAATGGTATGCATTATCTTGAAACTGATGAAGCAACTAAACATTTGCTTCTCTTTTCTATGGTACTACAATTCACAAGTATGAATATCACATGACTTACAGGCATTGGCCTCATAGCATTATTTGTTATGCAACGTTGGTATATCGATCAATACATACAATGAATGTAGATGATCATAACTGTTGATGTTTGTAGGAAATAAAGAGAATTATTTTATCTTCATATTTAAATGAAATTGTAGTCAAATTAGAGCTTTTATTAACTTAAACTTATAGTTTATCAATTAAAATACGAAATTAGTATTTGTTACATGTTATAAATATGTGTAATATAGTAGTGGAATGTAGAATTTTCTTTGGTGCAATTCTAGAGTAATGTTGCTTAGCATCAAATGCTATTGGTACAAGGTAGGTCTTCAGGTTCAGATTGGGTGAACCTTGAAGATGCCGTTCGGTGGCAAAATTGAAAGAGGAAGGCAAGGAGGTGCTGTGGTTGCAGGAGATCGAGTAGTCACAAAGTATGGAGTTGCATTGAGATGGTCTTAGTCATTGGCGCAGGATAAGCTGAAGTAAGTGCTTCAAAACTGACAGGTCTCATAGTCTCAAGGTCATGGCAACATCGACGAGGCCAATAATTAGACAAATGATACTGACCTTGATAGCTTTTGCTAGATTGAAGAGGCAAAGTAGCCTCTTTTTGCTCTAATTGCATTTTGTAGAGGGCATGACAACATGTGGAGGTGGTTGTAAGGTTAGGGAATGATGATTCACAAATTAGTGGTCATTATGATGTGGGGGACTGGTATGGTAGTTTAAGGATGTGGTTGAGTAGAATTAAGTTTGTGTTGGGGGAGGACAGTGACAGTGGATCGATTGGGCTGGGGGTAGGTTTTATTTATTTATTTAGCTATTTTTTTTTGTTCTAAAACCTTAGTTTGGAGATAAATGTTATAAAATAAAGGATATAGGACTAGTAAAACAAAGAATGAGCATATGATATGTAATTATAGTGAACCTGAGGAAGATTCAAAATAATCAATACGTATTATATTATTAAGATTAAGTGGAACATTGAGGTGATATGTTGGATCTATTTTGTAGAAAAATATGAATATATATGAGAATATAAAAGTATAAATTGATGGTTTAAAAGAAAAAAAAAATGCCTCGAACATTATGCGATACTTAAAGGTAAATTTTATAAAATTGTAATTATGATAATTATGCTTTATGAATCTCTATGCTTGACATTAAAAAAATCATTGGTATCCAAAATTAAGCTTGGAAGAAATGTGATCAAACAACTCAAGTTACACAACACAACCTTATATTACCAAACAAAGCCTTGTGAGTCTTTTGCTAAAACAAGTTTGCAGTTATGCCTCCATACATCTTGCAGGTGGTAGAATAGACTGCACTGCACTTTGCCTCATTATTTCTAGCAAGATGTAGAATATTGTGCTTTCCGATTAAGGCTCGGAATGTTTTAGCAAGTAGCATGTTGAATGAGTTAATGAACTTACCCAGTCGAGTGTTTTGGAAGGCATGTCATCAAACAATCCCCCCAGTTTTGTCAAATAAGATTGATCATATATAATTACATTTTTTAATTTCATACTTCTATGCCATCTTTACGGTACTTTAAATTACTGATGATAATAAAATCAATAAATGTGCTTTAGCATATAGGTCCTTCACTAAACTTCAAAATCAAGCTTGCACCCCTATGTGCACCCGCTCCTCAGCATTCCCATGAAGTTTGTTACCATCTCTACGATCATTTTATCTATTTCCTTCGGGTAGAATAAGCACAGCTTAGCTGGGGTTCCTTGGTTGAGTTAGCTTCACTATATATTTTTCTTTATAATTCCTCAATGACTTATATGCTTTCAAGTGTTTTATGTATTTTTGAATTCTGCTGCATATTGATGTAACCGGGTAGATAGAACTATTGTGTTTCACAAATTGTGTTCAGATGACGGCTTTCAATATTTTGGCATCATTGATGATTTGTCTTTCATTTGTCTAAATCTTTTTATAGAACACTTGGCTACCAAGATTAAAATATCTAAATTTGGGTTTCTCGACCAAAAGCAGGTCTACGAGCTACCTATTATTTTGAAGTAATGTGTCTTAAATAGATTTTGTTTTTTTATGATAGTTCCTTGTGGTGTAATTATGTGATTTTGTGCTCAAACAGGCAACCAAATGAGCCGTTATAGTAGTTTTATTTTTTGGTTTGTGCATCAGGTTATTCTAGGATTCCATATGCTTTCTTTCACTTTCACGACTGTCTAGTGCATAAATGCTATAGTTATAATGAAGCAGAAAAATCTTCAGGCAATAAACAATATGAGCTTCGCTGTCAAGCCCGGGAGCATAGCTTTCTTCTGCGCAATTTGCAATTTAAATTAATTAAAATACATCATAAGTTGCTGATTAAGCATTTGCATCATTTTTTTTTTTATGAAAATCAATGCCATCATTTCAATGTTCTTTGAATTAGTATTTACCGTGGTTTGCAAATTGTAAAACCTAAGTGAGTTTCTGTTTCTCGTATCAAGTTCTTATTAGATCATCTCCAACTGAACTGCATACCACCGTATGTTGTCGGACATTCGGTCCATTCAAACTCCAAATCTCATGCCAAAGTTCGGCGGGTAAACAGTGTGACACCAATATTGGCATCACTGTTCACCTACGCAAAAAAAATTGGGCTACGGGATTTACCGAAGAAGCGCATGAAAGATGAGAAAAGCGGGAAAGAAAAGAAAATGATTACCTTCACATGAAGCCCACGAAAGAAGAGAGAAAATGCCGTTCGATTGTAGATGAATTATTGCATTTTGAAGTTTTGCTGTATTTTGGAGTCGAAAATGGGGTTTTCAGTTGGAGATGCCCTTAAACGTCTTATATTTCCCTCGCATAATACATTTGAACCTGGTAGCACGAAAACTTTATGAACAAGGTTAAGCTAAATTACATAGATAGAAGTTGCAGTACTTGTCTAGTTCAGTTTTCAATCACATTTGGTCCTTGCGATGAATGCACCGCCATATATGAAATTGCATGATATAACCTATAATTATCTTCTCTTCTATTGCATTTTTGTAATTCATGGAATCACAGGTGAATCTGCTGCTGAAATTTTGGCCAGATTGAAGAGAGACTTGCTACCAACTTTATTGAACGGCCTAGCCTACTGGCCCATCTGCGACTTTGTTACCTTCAGATTCATCCCTGTTCGGCTACAGGTATATATAAATATATATATCATCATCATGATATATTTTTTTCTGCTTATTCATTTATTTTCTCTCATATCTGCTTTGTTCTCAGCCTTTGGTTAGCAATTCATTCTCATTTCTGTGGACCATTTACCTCACATACATGGCAAGTTTGCAGAAGGCATCGCCTCCTCATATTGCAGCCAACTGACCTCAACGCCATGCCTGTATTTTCTGCTCTATAGCTCCTCAGATTAGTGGCCTTCCAATTCTTTGCATATTTTTCATTATTGGATAATTAGAAATTTCATTTTGTCCAGGTTTAGGTTACTTTTCACTTGGTGGGGTACTTTATGTATGTATTTGACTTAATGCAATTTTGCAGTTTCTCTTTTCTGGGAAATTTATGTAGTAAGCTACTTTTTCAATCTTTCTTTGCGGGAAATGTATGAGTATTTTCTATCAATGAAATTCTAGACTTACTTTTTGTATGTTTTTTGTTGTCAATCTTGCAAAGCTCTTTATCATTTAGGCTTTGAGATTTAATTGAACCTTCCAGAATTTCTAGCAAATTCCTAATATGTTAATGTTTATGATCATACCTCCCAAAATATAGATTAATTATTATGTGCGGATGCTAAACCTCATTCTGAGACCAATCATAATGTGCCACGCCACCTCTTCGCTCAATATTCTGAGACCAACCATAATGTGTCACGTTACCCCTTCGCTCGGTACCGTGGTTTTGTACTGCTGATGTGTGTATTATGGTTAGTCTCCGAACGAAGTTTTGCATCCGGTCTCCGCACAGAATAATTTCTCCAAAATATATCTCGTTAGTCATGCATCATTTTTAATTTATATTTTTTTTTTCATATTTGTAGTCAGCTTTATCAAGACATCTTGAAACCAAGAAGGCAAGAAGATACACTCTCAAGGTAATCCAACTAGAACATATTAAATGTAATATATTTAATACAACTATTTCTATTTTATAGTAAACTATGATTTATATAAATAATATTTATTACATTCAATAAGAATAATGCACTTCAAAAGTATATCTATTATAAGGATCAATATATAGAATTTAAAAATATCTATGAATTAATTATAGAACTCAAGGATAATTCTCCTAATAAATAAGGGTACGCTCATTTCGTAATAATTACTAATAATATGCCTCCACTATGAGTGAGAGATTCCAAGTTAATTAAGATTCCATCAATCAATCCAATGAAATCAACCCAAGGGTTGTACAAATAGGAATCCTAATTTAATTTCTAATACCTTATTAAAGAATCAATCATATGATAATATTTATTTGTGACGACTTTATTCATGTTTCTTAAAGTATTTTTTTAGAGAAAAAAATTACTAATAATATGCCTCCACTATGAGTGAGAGATTCCAAGTTAATTAAGATTCCATCAATCAATCCAATGAAATCAACCCAAGGGTTGTACAAATAGGAATCCTAATTTAATTTCTAATACCTTATTAAAGAATCAATCATATGATAATATTTATTTGTGACGGCTTTATTCATGCTTCTTAAAGTATTTTTTAAAAAAAAAATTAAAATTTTTACTTGGAAGCTGCTTTAAGAAGCCGAAAGAAAGCCGTCCTAAACGAAGCCTTAATCTATTTAAAACTTAATTATATATATTAAAGACAATTAATATATGCTAGATGAGAGAGTAATTCTCATAGGTTAGATTAATGGCACTTCAATAGCATTGCCAACACCCATAACTAGAGTTTAAGAGTGATGATGTAGCGTAATTGCTCATTTTATCTGTATTCTAAAATATAGAAGACTAATATAATTGATTAAAAAAACATTTTTAACAATATTTTATATGCTGAAAAAAAAATGAATAATAAAATTTTCATATTTTGTAAATATCTTAATTTTTTTCAAAATCATTAAGATTTTGCTCTTTTTTTTTTCATCCGGTTCTATATGTTAAATGATTAATGCTTCAATTTTCTATACTTCTTGATATATAAATTTATCAAAATTGATTTTATAATAATTATAATTTATTTAATTATATTCATATTTAATATTTTGTAATATCAAAATCAGATTTAAAATTAGGGGGATTTACATAAATATCAATTTATTTCATGTTATTTATATATCTAATACTCAAAACATTAATATTAGTTGTCTATCACTCATATACAACTTAAATATGAAATATACTACTCATATCACCTAATAAACTTTAATATTTTATTGAAAGATTTACATATATACCATTATATACTATTTTATTTATATATTTAACATCTAAAATTTTTATATTACACACATACCACCAATAGTTCACTTTCATATTAAATATGAGTGGTAGAAATAAAACATATAAGTGGTAGGAATGAAATATGAGTGAATATTTGATATTAAAATAATATAAGATAATATATATATAATATTAAAATTTTTGTTGTTAGATGTGTAAATAAGATTGTGTAATCGTGATAAGTATGTAAATCTCCTATTTTATTTTATATGCACATATTTTATTTATTAGATAAGTAAATAGCATTAAATAAAATGGTATGTATGTAAATATGTGATTCCATCAGGAATTTTTATTGCATCCTCCCACCTGACGTAGAGATACGCCCTCCCACCGCTAAAAAACTCAGTTTTTGCTCGGTATTGCTAGTTATTATTTGGTATTAACGAAGAATATCATCATGTGAAGACTAATACCGAGTTATACTGAGCTATACCGAGCAATACCGAGCTATACCGAGCAATACAAAAAAATATCTAGTTTTTCCTAGAAAAAACTCAGTATTGCTCGGTATAGCTCGGTATAGCTCGGTATAATTCGGTATTGATCTTCACATGATGATATTCTTCGTTAATACCAAATAATAGCTAGCAATATCGAGCAAAAACTAATTTTTTTAATAATGAGAGGACGTATCTCTGCATCAGTTGAAAGGACGCAATAAAAATTCTTCGATCAGACATTGAGATTGAGATTCCCTAATTCTTCCCTCCGTCGGTATCATATTTCAGCCGCTCGTTCCTCATCCTCAGATATGTAAGGCTTGTAAGCCTTCCAAGTTTCTGTGCAGTTCCTCTGGGAGAAGAACATGGCTCTGAGCACAGTTTGTCCAGTCTCCTGTCGTCCTTCCCTCCAACCTCTTCAGTTCTTAAGACCCCCTTCAATCGGAACCTCGTCCTCTCCCCTCTTCCACGGTCACCTGGACTCGAAAAGCTTCTTCCTTTGTCCTCTCTCTGTATGTACGCATCATCATCCAATATTAGCTTATTCTGGAAGTAACGATAGCATTGAAACCGAGAGGTTGAAATCCTGCTTACTCGACGACGACCTACTGAGGCGCATCGTAGTGAAAAAGGATGCTCATCAAGCTATTGAGATGATTGCCGAGGCGAAGACGAATGTGAGCGGCGGTACTGTTGAGAATGATGATTGCCGTCTGATAATTGAAGCGGCACTTGTTGAAAAGAATGTTGAATTGGCACTCTCTGTATTCTACGCAATGCTCTCTGGCCGTGCTCAAGGTTCAGGTTTTTCTTCGTTGTTTACATTATCTTCAAATTTCTTTATTTTGTGGTTATGAAAATATGCATGTTTCGGATTACACAGAAGGCGTCGATTGGGTTATTGATTTTAGTATTCGCAGGAATGAATGAGGTGGCAAATCTTGAGAGGTGGGGTTGGGCTAGGCCGAATGTGCAGACCTATGCGTTGTTGGTTCGAGGATTGGCAGCTTGCTTAAGAGTCGCGGATGCATTAGGGATTATAGGTCTGGTTTCTGGAGCAGGAGTTGCTTCAGAGGATGAGGTATTTAGGCTTTTTTTCCTGGTTGTCAATGTTCATCTATTAAATTTTGTCATGTGTTTTTTTTCTTCATGATTGCATTTATTTTTGAATTTATTAGGTTTCATATAAATTGTTCTTTGATTTGGCATCAATCAAATGCCAGGAAATTTTAAAGGTTTTCGGGAAATTTATTGATGTACAACTCTACAGAAGATTCATGGAAATTTTTTTATTGATTGAATGCCACTCAAATCTTTTAGTTTTTATAAAGACGTTGCTCTGGTTAGTTGTTATTAACTTAAAGGGAATATATAATTGTCATTTCAAAAAAATATCCAGAACGTGGGGCTAGTGTGGTCTTTGAATCCTCAAAGGCCAATCCCTACCCATGGGTATGATAAGGCAAGGATGGGTGAAGTTAACTTAAACTTATAGGCCATATATTATGCAAAAATTGGGTTGGGTGGGTCACTAATCCCATGCCCAAGCGTTGGTTTATTTTTATTACTCATGTAAGAATAAGAAGTATGGTTTTAAGAGTTGACTGAGGCTCTGTTTGGGATAACTTTCATACTGCTGCTTAAAATAACTTTTTAGTATAAAATTTTCTAATTCAAGAATTTTTTGTGCTAGAAAGTTGTTTTAAAAAGCAATAAAAAGTTGTCCCAAATGAAGCCTGAGTGACATATTTGGAGGAATGAAAACATTAAGGTGGTATACTGATAAGATTTAATATTTGGGTGGTATTCTACACTGAAAAAATTGTTATTTATTGGGTTGAGAACATTCCATTTCTGGCTTATATGATACATATTCATGTTTTTAAATTCCTTTGTAAACCATTCAGTGCAAAGCACGGTTTGGGAATTTTTGTTCTTTTTTTTTTAATACACTTACATTTTATAGCGAGATTGTGACGGTGAATGTAGAAACGTAGAACTAAATTTCATTCTTCCATATTATCCTATTTCTCTCTCTTCCACTTTGGTTCTAATTATCTCCAGATGATTCATCTTCATCCTTCTATTCGGCAATTGATATCACATTTGTAGGTCATTTTATGATTCTTTGTTAGTTTTAATTTTCATTTTCCCTAAACGAGGTAAAGGATGGCATTTACATCTGTATTCTATATTTTAGGTGCCCTTTGGAATGATAGTCCAATGCCCAATTTGTATGTTAGCAATTGCTGTTGCACAACCTCAACATGGTGTTCAGGTAATACTATCCAAGATCAGCTGTAAGCTCTCTCATTTTGCTGAAACATGCATATTTATAAACGCATGCGTGTGTGAATATGTTCACATGCTTAATTTTATTTGTAAACTCTTCACTACTATACTACATTATTCACTTTTTTTAATTGCGCAAGAATTCATCTAAATTCTTGATTGATTTAGTATATTATTGTTCTTGCTTAACATAAGCTTAAGATCTGCACATCGCTGCCATGGTACTTACCACGACATCGACTATTTCCTCCATATCCAATTAGTTTGGTTAAGGATCATGGTGCTTTTTATCCAAGTTGGATCCTCAAATGGTGAAAATTGTAAAGAATGTTTCACTTGCTAAATTCCAACTACCTGTAAATAGGTTGATGGACCGGGCATTCTTAGGAAGATATGTGGGTTTTATGAACCAACAATTTTGCGCAGTGATTCATAGCCAACCTTATGGTGCAAGTTCAAAGTAAGAGGGTAGAACGGATTTAGAAAAGTTTTAGGGGTTTTTCTCGAGGTTCAATATTTTTCTATTAATCAATTAAGAGTATCTCAAGAATTGTCTCTTGTTGTAGACTTTTTTCTTGTGCTTCTTTTTTTTGTTGTGGACATGTAGGGGCGGATCCAACTTTTTTTTTTAGGGTGAGCTAATTTTTTTTTTTTGTGGGGATGGGCAAAGACGCATATGATTGATAAAATTAGGACAAAAAACATTTTTGAGGGGGGGGAGGAAATATCCAAAATACTCAAAATATTTCAAAATTTCAATTATGAGATATACTCATTAGGGAAAGATCTAGCTTCTTTTTTTAGGATGAATAATTTTTTATTTTTATGAGAGATGGGCAAAGACGCATAGCTTTGATAAAATTAGAGCAAATTTTTTTTTTTTTTGATTGGGGGGCAAAATGCCCAAAATATTTATCCAAAATACTCAAAATATTTAATATTTTTTTTGAGGGCAGGCATTTGCCCACCTTGAGTACATGGGGGATCCGCCCATGTGGACATGTTCTCTGTTTGCTTTTGAGTTTTCTTCCACAGTTCTAGCGGATAATATGCCAATGGTTGGATCATTCTCCTAGATAGCTGAAAACAACAAATGATTATTTTTCTTAGCTGGACACCACACACTCTCGTTATTTTTGTCCTAGACAACAACTAGGTGTTGTTTTCACTTCTATCATGTTGATACAACAAACATGTTTTTTGTTTTATCTTGTACATTGATGCAAAAAGTAATTTGTTTATCTGGTTTTAGTTTGAAATCAAGAGTAGCAGCAAGGGATGCAAACGGAGAAAACAATAACTGACACTATTTGCTACTAAAAATGTTTCTATGCTTTGAAATGTTTGCTGCTGTACTGCCATGTTGTTGTAATCCAGCAAATCTGCTCCGTTTCCTACGATACCAATGTTGGTGACAGGAGAGAAAAAAAGGAAATTTAAATGATTTTGAGAGTGAATTTTTTGATTGATTTTAATATAGAAATTAAGCTTATATATGGGCAACTACAATAGGAAATAATTTAAAAAATGATATTTATCCATCCAAAATAGTAATATTAACTCTTAAAGAAACTTCATAATGTTAATAATCCTATCTTCAAATATCAAACTAGTTAAGTTCAAATTTAAAATATAATTACAGCAGAATTTACCCCATTTCAAAAATTAAAATTCAAAAGATAAATTTTCTAAAACATATAAAAGTTTATACTTATCTCATTGTAATCTGGATTAGTTTCAATGCTCTAGACTTTTGCCCCATGGTCTTGATTATGAAGCCTCCAAGTGATGTTGTCTTTGACAAACCCCTGTTGCTGTTCTCTTGAATCCTTGTATGATTTGGAAATCAACACCAATGACAATCTCTATCCAGATGTTGAGCTATTAAGATGCAATAAACATTTTACCTTTGATTTTTCATGACCTTGCGTCGAAAGTCTGATTATAGATGATATGATTGATTATCTACTATATTTGATGTGCATTTGCTAATTTCTAGAGGGTATGTTGTTAAGGAGTGTGAACTAAAGGGGATTAAAGTTGGGCCAGATACATTAATGGTTAAGCTCATTTTCAATCTTATTTCTTAAGCATATATTTGAGGGCTAACCCTTATTTTTTTACACTAATATATATGTTCAACTATCTGATATTGGACTATACCCAAACTGTCACGTGCCGTAATAATCTCCCTTTTACATAAAAGTTGTCTACATCAGCAATCAAATAGAAACATCATAACGTATTATGTATTAAGTGCCCATTCAATCATGATCTGTTGTGCAAGTTTTCTGCTTTTGAACCTTGCTCATTCAGGGTTGATTGGCCAATAACCTTAAGTACCATAATCCTTGTAAACTATTCAATCTCAATCAAACCATTGAATTTGATACCACTTATTAGGGAATGTAAAGAAAATAGAGACCATAAATACTAATGTGTAACACTAAAGCATAAGCTTATGCATAAGGCCAACCATTTGATATTTCTACACTAACATTTTTTTTTTTCAATTATTTGATGTGGAATTAAACTCAAAGTCTCATGTGCCTTAATGTACACTAGGAAATACAATTTGATTCCCTCATTGTGACCTAGAAGGTTATGGGTTTGAAGTTGGAAACAACATTTTTGTGCATTGTGCTCAATTTGGCCATTGTTTTAGTTTTTAGGTTAAAAATGAGTTTGGCCATTGGTGCATTGTGCTCAATTTTATTTCCTCTTTTTTCCATGCTCTCTAGTAAACGATATTAGGGCCAAGGATTTGATTATGATAGGGTGAGATTGATCGATTTGGTGATTTGTGGGTCCCATAATTCTTTGTTACCTTATCTATATACATCCAATTTCTATAGTTGATTCTTGTAGCAACCTGTAGGTCTAATACCTATCTTGTACGTAGCTAGTTGACCACGCACTTGGTCCTATATTTCATGCTACAATGTCTCATCATGATTTCCTTATGGGTTGGCTAGTTCACATTGAACATATAACCACTATTTCTTGGATTGTTGCCTTGCTTACATGTTAATACATACTGTAAGAACCGGCTGGTCAGGTTCAGCTGAATTGGACCTTGCGCTGAAGCTGGCGAGCGGAACTAGGCAAAGTAGGAACAATCGAGCGGAAAATCGAGCAGACTGAAGGTGTAAGCGGGCGAGCAAAGTGGAGTGTTTGGAAATAAAAAAATATGACTCCTCATGAGAGATATCTTTGTTTCAATCACTCCACTGAAAGTAAAATGCGTGAGAGGAAATCATATCGAGAGGAAGAAGAAGGAGAAGCGAGGTAATAGAGAAGGAAAAGGGAGCATGGAATGAACTTGAGCAAAGAATGGGGGGGGGAGAGAGAGAGAGAGAGAGAGAGAGAGAGAGAGAGAGATGTGAAACAAAACATGCGATTTAGTTACTTTAAGAAATTAAAGAGAGCAATTTTAACAAAATAATCCAAAGTAAATTTATTGCTTATAACATTGGTTTGATCCTTAGAATTCTTAGTTTTAACTTGCTTAGGCAAAGAAGAGCGAGGTCGGTTAACCAAACAATTTCAGAAAACACAAAGATCAATTGTAACACTACGACGGTAAACAAGAATCCGCAATTTAATAATAAGAACTTTCACCTTTGGAGCCCATAC